TTTTTAGGAATTCTTGCATGTCGATTTTGTTTTATCCTGGAACCTGATCGGAGGCTCGTGAGGGATCATAAAAATTTTTCTACTTCAATCAAATTTAAAATATTTAAGCTCACATATAACGAATTTAAGAAGTAAGCTCAAAACCGTTGGGAGTTCTCATATGCATACTTGTTGCATTTTCTCTCCTTTTGTTATGCACCTCCCCGCCTACGGGTTTTGATAGATTACCTGGCCTATGAATGAGAGTGCAGATCTGTCAAGGGGAATCTATGTATTCTTTTAGGATAAAATCTATTTTAAGACTTTTTTAAAAATTCTTCCTTCAAATTTTAAGCATTTAATCGAGTCAATTAGCATGCATCGCATTAGTAACAAACTTAAAAGTGTCTAAATCTTTAATTGCATTTACTTAGACATTAAATACCCAACATATGTTAAGGTACCAATTAGGATCTATTATATATGTCGGCCCTTTTCTCAAAAACTTTTCTTAAACAACATCCCTACCACTCTACATTAATCGACTGGATACATAGTTTTAAAGCACCTATGTGGTTTAGCTGGCTCCCCAATCCAGGACAGGGTAAGTCCAGGTTTGCATTGCATTAGCTAGATTTGGGTCACTAATTTGTAGTACCTAATTTAGACTTAGGTTCTAAGATAGGTTTAGGCTATAAACCCTCAACCTCCGGGAATTGAATCTCAACTTTCTAATAAAATCGATGACTCAAACTTAAATATATTTCAATCAAATTCAAACCCAACACTTAAGATAGGTTGAGGTGTTTATAACATAATTCAGAATTTCAAAAGACCTCCTACCCTTCTTTCTTTTGACTCTAAAAATAAATGCTCCAGTTTGATCCAATCCCATTTGAATTTCCAACTCTTACCTCCTTTGACATCAAACTTTGAACTCTTAAATGAAATTTCTACCGCTATTTTAAACCAGAGCATTTGTAGGAAACTCTGATTTCCTATGATGTAATTATCTACGAGCGCTTGAGCTCGTAGGATATTTAGAAACTTAGATCTAACTTTTCAAAAATCAAAATTTTCAAAACTTCAACTAATCTTCTTTGGGAAAATTAAAGTCAATGATCATTATTATTATTTTCAAACGATCAATAGTGATTGATATCTTCTTTCTTTGGAGAGATATGTCAATTATTTTTGTGATTTTGATTATGAAATTAATGTTCTTTTATCTAGATTATTATAGTCAAATACTTGATTAAATTACATTTTGACCCTCTGGGGTCGAATGTGATTACTTCCTGAGTTTGACTATGATAATCAGGATGAATTCAAAATTTTGTAATTTGAACCCATTAGGGAATGATATGTTCACCTTCCGAGGTGATATATCATTCATAATGATGCGTTCAATTTTAAAATTTGAGAAATTAAACTTTCCCAAAAAAAAAAAAACTTTTTCAAAACAACCAAACTTTTAAATCAAATAATGCTCCTGACACCTAGTTCTTTGAACCCTTAATGATGAAAATGCTAAGTCATAAAACATGTTAACATATTGATTCAAGTTATTAATGATTTTAAATGAAAATTACCTTTAATTAACAAACTTTAATATTATCTAATCAAACTCATAGCTTAAACATCACGCATTTAAGATATATGTTATCATTGTCACCTTAATATATACTAGATATTATGATAGACACATCCTCAGACGTCTTTGAACTAGAGTGAAATTAGAATTACTTTTCTCATTTGTTTGTTAAGTGAGGTATTGGAATGGGTTGGCAATAATATAATATCTTGTATTATTTTTTGCTTTTGGATATTTATATTTTCCTTATAAATGATTATTGTGTGGTCATAAATGGGCTAGTGACTTTCCCACATAGCTCTAATTTCCCTTTAGATGATCAAAAATAGTTTGGTGATCATTCAGTATATTAACACTTGTCAATCTAAACTAACTAGTATAAATCTTATCATCTTTGACCCTATTCTAAGTTAGTTGACTATAGGTAGCTAAGTAGTCTCCTTAGATTCTAGATTGGATATTTGATTACCTTAAGTGGTCATAAAATTTTCTTAGAAAGGTCATGACTATATTTCCTAACTCTTGCAACCCTCAGGTGATCTTAAGTAATACTAGCCCTAGTTATAGTTTCCTTTTACATGATTCTATACTAATAGCTTGATTCTTAAACAATTTTAGTGATATTAAATTTATCTAGTTGTCCACTTTACCTTGAGACTCCTATCTTATCCTAATTAAGCCTACGTAGTATAGTTGTTATTCCTAGTTAATTCTACTTAACCTTAATTCTATTATTGGCCTATTTTAAATAGCCATAGATAATATTAATTGGCTTAATGACCAGGTTCATATTTGGTAGACTATCTAGGAACATTTGTATTATATTCCACCTTAGGGTGCAATGGCCATATCATTAGATTCTTGGACCATAGAAAGGCATGGCTCACCTTAGTAAGTAATGTTGTTTAATGATTAGATATATTAGTCATTAAAATTGAAACTTTATTAGTTTACAATTATTTATACTAATTTTCTTATTTTATCTTTATGAATTTAAGTATATTTTGTAAGTAGATTCTAAGCTTTTAACTGATACCAATTTTTGAATGTACTCATCTTTTTTTTTTTAGAATATTTTTCAAAGTTCTTTTTATTTTTATTTTATGGAGCTCATAGTTAATGAATTTGAATATCAGTTTGGCATTAAACTCTTTTATAACCTTAATGAATTTTATGTAAGGATTTAATAAGATTACCAATTCTAAATTCAAGTTGCTTATGATTTCCATTTTTAATTTACATATATCTAATCTTTAATTCTAATTATTTATCTTTATTTTAAAAATCTACCTAAAATAGAAATTAATAATTCTCTATAATAGAAATTTTGGAGCCTTCCCTAATAATGGACCCCTTAGAAATAGGTTTAGGAGTTGGGAGTGAATTATCCTATGCCCTAAACCTACCTTAATCCTTAAATAATTATATTACCTCCTTTCTATTTAACATATTATATGTCCTCTTTCTAGATCATAGATTTTTTAATCCTTATGGTGGCATGGCCCACCTTAGGGTAGGCTATGATTATCACATATGGCTCTTTATAACTTTCAATGGAAAAAACTCTTAGTCATAAACTATGTTAACAAATTAGTTCAAGTTCTTAATAATTTAAATGGAATTATATCTAGTTAACGATATTGAATATCATTTAATCAACTCATAACTTGAACAGTACACATTCATCAGATCAATAATTATCACTAGCTTAGCACATTATATATATTGTAATAAGTGTATCCTTAGTCATCTTAAGGCTAAGGTAAGGTTAAAATTGCTTTTCTCTTGTGCTTGTTGAGTCACATATTAGCATGCATTGGAAATCATATAGACTTGTACTATTATTTTGTATCAATACATGTGCTTATTATTTAGTGCTCATGAAAGTTTATTTAACCGCTCAGTATAATATTATGTTAAGCCAAATAATATGATATATATGTTACTGTGCTAAACCTTTATTTTTTGAGGACTCTATATAATTTTAAATTTTCTTATGTTATTTTAGTTTATGAAAAATAATGTAGATGTGGGATTATTCAAAGGGTAGGATGCTAAATGGTGGTCAAGATTGAGTCTGATATAGAAGACCCTATATGCCATCTCATTTATGTATAGATCTTAGGAATGAGTTGCATATATAATAATGTCTAGTTGCCTTTTCATTTTCACTTTTGAGAACATACCTAACTCTACTTAAATATTATTTTATTTTATTTTATTATATTTGATGTAATAAATATATGTGATTATTTATTTGAAATGCATACTTTTTTCGAATCTCTCCACTTATAAAATGATTGTCTTAGATATGTTATTATTAGGCTCAAAGTTAAATTTTTTATCTAAACATTTGAATAAGATAAAGTTAATCATAGTTAATTAATTTTTCTATTACTTAATGCATGGCTTCTCTGTAAGCCAAGGTTTTTAATAATTAATCTTAGCATTTTAAGTGGACCATAGACATGTAATCAGTATTTTGCTTAGATGTATTGCCTAATGAAGGTCTGCTATATGAAATAAATAAAGGCCTCATTCTAATTCAAACATAAGCATGAACCAACGAGTTTGCAAGGTACTTTTTTTTTTTTTTTTTGCATTGGACTAAATACTAGATTATTAAATAAAATGTTTATAGTCATGTGTCATATCATACCTTTCATGATTGGGCAACCTTTGTCTTATTGGCAAGGTCATAAATCATGCCCTTGATAATAATATTATCCTCATTATTGAAAGAAAAATGAGATAATGAGGTTGCCTTTTCATATAGGAGATTTTAAAAAGAGATTAAAAAGATGTCCAATGAGGTAGGACCAATGAGTATTATCTAAAGTCATGTCATATTGTTAATTTTTGGTTTTAGGAAAAGAAAAATTAATTGATTTGGGTCAAGTAGTCCCCAGATTCTCTAAAGTTAATTACATTTTAAGGAACCTCAAAGAGACACTCTTAATAAGAAAAATATGGTCTTATACATGATTATATTTTCATATAAAAATCCTATATAATTGTGACTATTGAATCGCCAAAATTCAAGGGGAATGAATAGATTAAAAAAGGACTCAAATATGGTAAAATGTATGTGCATGGATTGCAAGAAAAGGTACAAAAAAACCCAATTAGCATTCTATGAATCAATCATCCCTTGTTATTAAACTCAAGATCAGTTAACCATAAGGTAGTCATTCCAGCCTAGACATAAGAAACTCTAAAAATAATCATGAATTGTGTCATCTAGAGCATTTTTGTGTTCTAACATAGATTATTGTAGATGATTCAACATAGTATATCTTAAAAGGATGTAGGGCTTTCATTTCTTAGAGGTATAAGGTTTGCGTATGGAAACAATTGAATGGGATAGTTTGACTACCATTATTTAAGCTATATAATTGTACTTAAAATCTTATCTAGATCAGGACCACAACTATCTTATCTTCTAGACATCCACTTAGCCATATTCAATTAAATTATATCATCAAGTCAGGAGTATTGTCTTTAGGGAAATGAATGATTGAAAAGTTATTTATCCTTAAGTGGAGGCATTGAGCTATTTATATTAGGAATCAAATCTCCTAGGGCAAAAGGAGAGTCACTTTGATAAAAGTGCAATACATAAATAGGGAGTCTTCAGGGAGTGGATGTAGGTCTAGTTGGACCGAATCACTGTAAATTTCTATGTTCTTTATTTTTCCACAATTTTATTTTTCTGCACATTTTTATTTAAGTGGTTGAAAAGTTTTATTTTGTTAAGGAAATTAATTGTTGTGCAAAATAATTTTAAAATGGTTTTCATTCAAGAGGAAATTTTTAATTACCAATTCACCCCCCCCCCCCCTCTTAGTTAGCCTTGGGACAATTGTTATAAGTCTAACAACCTATAAGGACTTTTCAGACTCGACATGAATGGACAGGAAGGACTGAAGGAATGTCGTCAAACACCGAAGACCGAAGGATGAAGGGAAAAGCGCAAATTGGGCTCTTGGTTGAAAGTGGAAGTGCAAAAGTGGAATGGCTTAATCGCTTATTTGCTTATATGTCTGGCGAAGCGGGTCAAAATCGAGTTCAAATTGAGTTTTCGAGTTGAGCTGAACCGAACCCGGAATTCAAAACGGATCAAAATGGATGGTTCCTGCTTTGGGATTTTGGCCCCTTTTTTCTATGGAGGTTTCGTTCTCTTGCCAATGTTATTTCCTGATTTTGTTGATTTCTTACCGGACTTGTTTGTTGCTGGTGCTGAATGCAGATATCTGGATTATCTAGTGCACCCCTTCAACTTGTTTAGAGATTTTTTTTATGAAGAATGTTTGTTGAGGATGTTATGTGGCTCGATTGGTTTCTCTTTTTTTAAGTTTTTTTTTGTTGTAACTTTACTCTTCATGGCTGCCTTAAGAGAAGTTTGCTTTGTTTTATGGGTTTAACTATGTAACAATGATGAATACTCATGGAGAGTGCTTAGTCCTTGCTACCAGGTAACATTTATATTTTTTTCTCTTTACCAGATGCTCCTATCTTGGGCAAATATTATTGAACTAATTATGATTTCTCGCTTTGGATGGCAACCTATCATAGATTTTGAGCAATGGTGATCTTAGATTATCTCTAACCGAGCGGCAAACGCTCATATGCAGTCTTCCGATCCTCCAATCGAACGTCAAATCTTACGTTGAATATCACGAAGTGAACCCCCATCATTGATGCAATTTATTTTTAAATATAAAGATAGGATTACAAATTAATATAAAAAATATGAGATAGAATATACATGAAATATTATTTTTTGTGTTAAAAAACAAAATTCAGTTATAAATGAGTTATTTTATTTTAAAATACTATTATATTTTAGAGTGAAAATTGTATCAATACAATTTTGGCGCGGCCTCCATCCCAAAAAAACATGGAACACTCATTAGAGCTGCAATAGCAAAAGCTTCCAACTGGAAGACCGCGCAAACGGAAATCTTTCAACAATTCTTCCTTGACAACTTATTGAAAATTTTTCCTTATAAACACCAATTAAATTTTACTGGGATACCGAGGGGCTACTGAACAAAACCCATGCCCAAACCGCCGGTCGGCGAAGAATCTTCCATGGAGACTCATCGCCGGAGCTCCGGGGATGAGCTGACGCGGCGTCAGAAGGTGCGTGCGATCTTCGAACGCGTCGATTTGAATGGTGATGGTGGTCTCGACCGCTCCGAATTGGCTGCCCTGGTTGTCGCCGTGAATCCTACTCTCCAGTTCACCAGCGACCAGATCTCCTCCATCATAGACGTGGTGTTCGGATCCTACTCCGATTTCATCGGAGATCTTTCCTCCGGCCTTTCCCTCGACGGCCTCTTTCAAACCTACGCTGATGGCGCTGGCGATCTCGATCGCGATTTCGCCGCTCTGTGCCTCTCTAAGGAGAATCCAGATATGATCAGTACCCTTTCAAACCGCTATCGGTACCCAAAGCTTGCTCCTACGTGGCTCTCCTCACCCAACCATGGCGTGACGCATGATAGTACCTGGAAGGTGATCGAGGAGCTGGAAATTGCTATTAGGGCTAAGATTCGGGCTCGTGCTGCTAAGTTTTCGCCTAAAGATTCCACCTTTGCTGATGGATTCTCAGAAGTGTGGTGCTCAACTGATCTCGGATTCGAGTTGGAAAGGAAGGGAGCAGAGTTTGTCTTTAAGGAAAAGTCTAGTGAATTCCGGGTTTTATTGCAGGAGTTGAAGGAGATTAGGGCGAAAATTGACAGCTTGTCAATTGTGGAGGAGGCATTTGATGGCCATCTAGCGATTGGTAGGACTTTGTTCGAGCGCCACCTGTTCATGCTGGCGCTTGAAAGCTTCCGCCGCGCTTTAGAGCTACGGCCAATGGATGTGCGGCCTTATTTCAGGATTGGAAATACTTTGTGGTCTCTAGGACACATTAAAGAGGCTAAAGATAGCTTCTTGGCCGCTCTGGAGATCGCTGAGAGCGATTCACTTCAGTGGTCAGGTCTCCTTCCTCAGATTCATGTGAATTTGGGGATTGTCATGGAAGCAGAAGGCCTGGTGATCAATGCAAGCGAGCACTACCGTGAAGCTGCCATCCTCTTCCCAAGCCATTATAGAGCTCTCAAGCTTCTTGGAAGCGCTTTGTTTGGTGTTGGTGAGTATGAGCCAGCAGAAAAAGCATTGCAGGAAGCAGTTATTCTCAAACCAGACTATCCTGATGCCCACTGTGATCTTGGATGCGTTTTCCATGCCATGAAGGAAGAGGAGAAGGCAATTCTAGCCTTTCAAAGAGCGATTGATCTCAAGCCTGATCATTTGGATGCTCTTTATAATTTAGGGAGCTTGCTTCTGAGTGCAGGTAGGCATAAGAGAGCAGCAGAGATGTTTGGCAGAGTGGTGACAATCAACCCAGACCATTGGAAAGCTCAGCTGAATCGAGGAATCTCTTTGTTTGGTGCTGGAGAGCTGAATGAGGCTAAAAAGGCTCTTACTGAAGCATTACTGATAACAAACAGGATAGAATTGTACGATGCTATTCAGCATTTGAAGCAATCTAAGAGGAAGAAACCGAAAGACGAGCGTCCAAATTGGGTTGCAGTTGATGCTTCGAAGTTCATGACAGCGGATGAGAGCACCACAAATCAAAAATGCTTATCAGATGCTCTATGGATCAGGGAAATCCAGAAAGCTACTAAATTAGGACGCTGTGATGCTACCCTTTTGAAGATGGAAATGGAGACCTACCAATTCCCAGTTTCTTCTTCTGATAGATCTGTTAGGAAGGCTGAGGTGGAGGTTCTTCTCTACAGGCTTCTCCATTTCTTGCGGCCTGATACCTTCCGCGATGCCATTAAGGCAATTGATGAGAAGATATGGCACGTATTGGACATCACTGGTTCTGGAAAGATTGATCTTGGTATGTTCTTTGCTGTCATAGCTCCTATATGCGGAGGATCACCGGAGCATCGAAAGCGTGCAGCCTTTGATGCTCTTTCATGGCAGCCTTCAAGGAATGAGCTACAGCGCCAGTTTTCTACTGTGGATGTCTATGCTTACATAAGAAACTTGAGGATGGTATACTTCCCTTCTCGTCCATTTTCTGATCAGATGGAGATCAGCAAGGAAGGAGATAGCATTGGTATTTCATTTCATGAATTTATAAACATGTTTGATAATATTTATCATGGTTTTGGAATTATGAGTACCTTGTTGAAGCTTGAGAAGGGCGCTAAGGCGCGCAGAAGCAGGCATTCATGTGGGGTTTGCAGGTACCGGATCTCCAAAATCATGTTCAAAGAAGTGAAGGCGAAGTTCTGTGTGTGCGCCAATTGCTACAGTGAGTGTAAGGTCCCTTCTGCTTTTGAGAACGAGGATGAATACAGATTCAAGGAGTGCTTATTTGAGTAAGCATTCTGGTATCTGATATGTTGGTGGCTATGGGATCCAAAGATAAGCTACTATGAGCTTTCTTTCTTTCTTCAGGGGCTTTGCTTTTGGGGTTGCAAAGGTTGGCAGATCATGAATTGGTTGGTCAAATAAATGGAGGAATTTTTGTGATTAATAGCTTAGATTTCGAAGTCCTATTCATTAGGAAAAGGGGTTGTTTGTATAAGGTTTTGGAGATGGCTTATCTTTATTATTTGCCTTTTGTTTTCTAGTATTTTCACTCACCCAATTGTGAGGTCTTGAGTTTGTGATTTAGCATAAATGTGTATATATATTTGTTTTTCAAAGCTCAACCACTGGCTTTTACTGTCACAGTTCTCGTAGAGAGCTCAGGAGACCATTCATTCCTACCCGCTACAAGCCTTATTGAGAGCTCCAGTGTTAGTTTGTTTATAGACTGATTTTTTTTCTTTGGCATGAATGGGTTGAGATGGGATGGTGAGCTTACTTCCTCTATTTTTTTTCATTCCTTTTGGATAGAGCCTTTGTTAAGGATAGTGTAGATGTCACTCTATTTCTTAAGAATGTCGATGATATATTATTTGGATCAACAAATAAAAATCTACGTGATGAGTTTTTCAAAAATAATGAGTTAAGAGTTTGAAATGAGCATGATAAGAGAGCTAAACTATTTTCTTGGATTTAGTGTGAAATAGATCAATGATGGAACATTCCTTAGTCAATCAAAATATATCCTTAAGAAATATAAAATGGAATGCTAAGGTAATAAATACTCCCATGAGCTCTATTATCCAGTTAGATAAGGACTCAAATGAAAAATCAGATGATCAGAAGAAATATATAAAAAAATTTGGATCACCTCTCTATTTGACAACTAGTAAACCTGATATAATATTTAATGCATGTCTCTGTGCTAGATTTCATACTTATATAAAAGAATCTCATCTAACCGTTATTAAGAAAATTCTTATATATCTTCTAGGAACACAAAACTTAAGAATCAGGTATCCTAGACATAGCATCTCCTTCGAAATCATAGGGTATTCTGAGTCATGTCACGTATCCATTGAATGACTTCATGTAGCAAATGAAAAATAAGGATTTGAAAATGATTTCAGGACATAATTTGACTACAACGCAAATATTAGGATTGTGTTAAAACATACTTAATTGTTATATTATACAATATGTATGAAATATATTTAAAATATTAAATATGGGAACTTAAATAAATGACAAACAAAATCAAAGAATGGAAATTGCAACTATATATTATTTAAAAATTCATGTTTCATTCCATAATAAATGTATGTAGTTTTAGTTAATGCTATTTATTTGAAGAATTTATATGGATTTTCTTTAAGTATTTTGTATTTATTTAGAAGATTTCGGGCTCCACATCAAGAGGATAGAATGCTAGTCATCGCCTCAATTAACTTTGGTATTGAGAGGGAAAAGATGGTTAATCATCCAACTTTGGAGTCGAGCTTTAGCATCAAGAGGGAGAGGAAATTGGCAGATGAGCCTGCTTTTTTGCAAAAATACAACAAAAACGCATGAAAAGTGTACAAATCCTGACACAAATTTAGGTATGGTGTCCGGAACTAATAATTAGCCCTAGTGTTGAGCTTTGGAAGTCCATTGATTCGTAGATCCGATAATGTCAACCAAAACTCTAATGAAGCGTGCAAAAAATGTAAAGATTAGAAGAGAAACTTTGTGAGAACAATTTTGGAGAGGGAAATGAAAACAAAGAAAATAATTTTTTTAAAAAATTTTAATTAAATTATTAAATTACTAGGACACACAAATCGTTTATATATATATATTAAATAGACACATGACAATTGTCTCTAACACCTGTCTGTGCCAATATCCAACACAGGTTGAATACTAATTAAAATGAATTATCGATACATCGTAGCTGTAAAGTCTTATCCACTCTACTAATCACAACCAGAGTAAAAAATAATCGCCTAATTAACTGTATTAACCAGCCTCCAATGCCTTGAGACATAGATAGGCCAAATTACACATGAAAATGACATCACCGGCCAAAAATTGTTCCACCCCTTCTTCTCTTAAATTAATAATATATATATATATATATATATATATATATATATATATGAAAACAAATTATATTTTTATTTCTTCAGGGCATCTCCAATCAAAAATCTCATTTTTCACTCCAAAATGTCAAATGTCGTAATTCTATCTCCAGTCGAACTTCATTTTGTCCCGTAACAGTGGCTCTCTTATTTCGCACGTTTCTTCGGTAAGCTTGATAGACATAAAAAAATGACGAAGATGAACAGTGCCACGTCAATGTTGACGTCCCACTGTTCATCCGCAATAAAATGGAGTAAAAATTGCCGCTTGATTAACCAAGCTCGGTTGGTGCGCCAGATGCCCTTCGGTCGGAGATGCTCTCAGCCCAAACTTCATTTTGTCCGGAACGATGGCTCTCTTCTTTCGCACGTTTCTTCGGTAAGTTTGATAGACACCAAAAAATAATGAAGATGAACAGTGTCACGTCAATATTGACGTCCTAATGTTCATCCGCAATGAAATGGAGTAAAAACTGCCGCCCGTTGGAGCTCGGTTGGTGCGCCAGATGCCCTTCCGTTGGAGATGCTCTCAGCCCAAACTTGCGGTGTGGGCGGGCGCATGTCCCCAATGTTCAGGAGACACCTGTGCTCTCACAAACCATACACTTAAAAAAGAGAACCTTTTCTCACATCCGACTGTTCGATCTAACTACAACGTGGTCTCTTCACTGCCCACCAAAGACCTCACACCCTATCCATCCTACCCATCATTAACCCCATCAGAGCCAACTCCACAAGCTGAAAACCAGAAGAGGCTTCTCTTTTTCTTAGCAGAAAACGGAGTATACGAAGTCATGGCTCAGTCCATGTTAATCTCTAGCTTCAGCGGCCATCTTGTCGACTGCAACAGAGAGCCATTGCTTAGATCTCAAATCCGCCGACTTCGCCCTTCTCCTCTCTCCCTTCTCTTCCTTACTCGTCCTTCTCCCCTGCAATCTACTTCACCTTCTTCTTATGCTCCTACTCTTGCTGTCTTCAAGTCCAAGACTAAGGCTCCTGCTAGAAAGGTAAGATGGGAGTATTGAATTTAGAACTGTAGGTGAAATATTTGTGTTGAAGTTATGGTTTAGCTTTTGGTATTCTTGACAGGTAGAGAAGGATAGACCAAAGGTAGAAGATGGCATCTTTGGCACATCAGGTGGTATTGGTTTTACCAAGCAAAATGAGCTTTTTGTTGGCCGAGTTGCTATGCTTGGTTTTGCGGTGAGCAGCTTCTTCTTTTATTTGTTTCTGATTCTCGTTTTAGTGTTAAAACTTCAAATTGTATAGAAAATAAATGCTAGGCACTGGGCATCAGGTTCTTCCTTTAACTTGTTCTTAAGAAGCTTGTGATGATTTTATCAGAGAAAAAGAGGTAGAAATTATCAGCAAATTAAAAATTGGTTCAGAAATCCCAAAATAAAACATTATCAAAAGAGGAGCACATAATTAGAAATATAAGGCATTTGTGTCCAAAATTTATATCCTGATCTCTTTATCTGATTTTTTTTCCCAAAGCTAATCTCATTATATATATGTCTGTGTATGTTATCTATGTGATGTTAGTAAATGGAAAATCAGATTAATCCTAAATGCAGTCAAATAGAATCAAATTAATTCTAGAAAGGTCTTAGCTTCTAAGATTCACTGCTTCTGAACATTTCACTATGAAAAATAGCAATCATACAAGATTGTGCTATGAAAGATTTGAATAAATATTTTGAACTGAGATTCTGTGCTAGAACAACTATTTCTTGCAAGAAAGTGAATGTTATTTCACAAAATGTTCGGATATATGTTATTTCAAATAATTGTCTTGTATTTTTTGAGAGGAATTCTTTTATTTATTTTTTTTTATATATAAATAATCTCTGATACAGCGGATATCATTTGCTTGTAGGCGTCTCTTATTGGAGAAGGAATCACTGGCAAGGGAATACTGGCACAGCTAAACTTAGAGACCGGAGTACCCATCTATGAAGCCGAGCCACTCCTACTTTTCTTCATTCTCTTCACACTTCTTGGAGCTATAGGAGCTCTTGGTGACCGTGGGCGCTTTGTCGATGATCCTCCCACTGGGCTTGACAAAGCTGTCATTGCTCCAGGAAAGGGCCTTCGTTCTGCTTCCTGGAATCGGCCTGGCCGATAATTTAAAATTCAGTATGCCTAAACTGTCTAAGGCGGCTATCTCTTTCTATTTTGAGCTTATCGTCCTGGCCGATACACGTATCGTCCAGGCCGATATGTTAATGTCGGCTGCCTTAATTAAGAATCCTTAATTAGACTTTCTGTTTTAAGCTGATCGTCCCGGACGATATAAATATCGGCCGGGCCGATGTGGGCAAAAACAGAATTTCTAAGCCTCTCAAGTGTGTGTGTGACGGGTTACTTAGCATCAGTCTTTTTGATTCTTACAAGTAGACTCAAAAGGTGAAAAATAAAATTACAGACTGACTCAACCCTAAACCTACGCGATCCTGGACTTGGCTTCCTCTTGATCGTCCGATCTTCGATTTCTGAAAAGTTAGAAGCAACAAGTAGTCCAAGAGAGATAGTGTTTGTCAATCATCAAAACATAAGCTATGAAAAAGTAGATTTGCAACACATCTAAGAGTAGAATTCTTCAAAACTTCTGAACACGAAAACTTCAAATCCCCACTTGTTTAACAGTGAAATCACATCTTCTAATTTGCTACATTTGACAAGTACATGTTCCACATCCTTAATACCGATCAAGCATCTTGGACATATTTCGTTGACTTGTAATCTTCTATGATCTAACAATTAATAGGTTAGGATAGCATTTTTAAATGGCCACCAGTAGAAAAACTCTACTCGAGGATTAACTCTTGCTTTGTTTTATCCATTTCTAAAATCTGGATTCATCTTGAGGTTGTTGAATATATTCAAATATCATTCCAGAAAGAGTCTTTCCTAAATTCTAAAAAATCTGCTCTTGCTCATCATCCCGTTGAGTTGATTTAATATTGATTTGTAGAATAAGTTCCACCAATTCATTCCCAAACACCTTTATCAATTCAGCAACATTCCATTTTTTGTTTACAATAAATCTGTCCAACAGTAAAACCTCATCACCTTGAGGCACTACAAAGGTTGGCCATTCGTTGGTACTTCTATCTAATATCCACTTGTCTCTATAGACATCAATAGATGATCCATTTGCAATATTTCATTTCACGAAAGGAATAAGAACTTTTTCATCATCATAGATTAATTTCCATAAGGATGAGAAACTTTTCTTATTATCTTCTACTTCAACCTTGGTGTCATATTTAGGAGCTAAAATTTTGTGTAGGAGTGAGTCTTTATTTTGCAAAAATCTCCAAGTTAATCTAGCTCTAAGAGCTGCCACATTAGATGTAGAAGAATGCAAACCAATTCCTACCCAATTTAACGGCTTGCACAATTCACTCCAACTAACATAATGAATTCCCAACAATCCATTTGACTTGTTCCCTAGGAAACTCTTACACAATTTGTCAATATCTTCAAGCACACGGATTGGAATAAGAGAATGTATTAAATAGAAATTCATGAAGGATAGAATAACTGATTTAATCAAGGTTAACTTGCCAGCCAAGGATATGAATTTGCTCCCCCATATGTTGAGCATCCTTAATGATTTTTCAATGATAAAATGAAAATCAGTGGCCACCAATCTCCTTAAAGCCATCTTTATACCAAGGTAAGAAAATTCTTTCACTTCTTTGAACCCCATAATATGTGTAATGGACATCCTTTTCCTTCTATTAACAATCTTACCAAAAAAATGGCAAATTTGTTAATGTTAATACATTGCCCAGTCCATTTACTGAAATTGGAAAGAATGCCCTTGATCTCAATTGCCACCTTCTTATTAGCTTTTGAGAAAATCATCACATCATCTGCATATAATAAGTGTGATATCCATGGACCATTTAGACAAATGCTAATTCCAATAGAAGTTTGAGCAAAAGCATTAGAAAGGAGTTGAGAAAAAAGTATGAAAAGAAGAGGTGACAAGGGGCAACCTTGATGGATGCCACTCTTGGCTTCTATCCATTAAGATAATTTACCATTAATGTTCAAATAAAATCTTGGTTCTACCACACATTCCAATATGATCTTTAAGAACATAGCAGGGAATTCAAAATAATTTTAGAAGCCTTTAAGAGTACCCAACTCATTGAGTCATACGCTTGCTCAATATCGATTTTAAAAGAAACAATCCCTTTGGATGATATAATAAGTGTGATATCCATGGAACATTCAAACAAATGCTAATTCCAATAAAAGTTTGAGCAAAAGCATTAGAAAGGAGTTGAGGAAAAAGTATGAAAAGAAGAGGTGACAAGGAGAAACCTTGATGGATGCCACTCTTGGCTTCTATCCATTAAGATAATTTACCATTAATGATCAAATAAAATCCTGGTTCTACCACACATTCCAATATGATCTTTAAGAACATAGCAGGGAATTCAAAATAATTTAAGAAGCCTTTATGAGTACCCAACTCATTGAGTCATATGCTTGCTCAATATCGATTTTAAAAGAAACAATCCCTTTGGATGATATAATAAGTGTGATATCCATGAACCATTCAGAAAAATGCTAATCCCAATAGAAGTTTCAGTAAAAGCATTAGAAAGGAGTTGATAACAATGTATTAAAAGAAGAGGTAACAAGGGGCTACCTTGATGGATGCCACTGTTGGCTTCTATCCATTAAGATAATTTACAATTAATGATCAAATAAAATCTTGGTTCTACCACACATTCCAATATGAGCTTTAAAAATATAGCATGGAATTCAAAATAATTTAAGCCACTTTTAAGATTACTCAACTCATTGAGTCATATGCTTGCTCCATTTCAATTTTAAAAGAAATAATCCCTTTGGATGATTTAGAATACTTGAATTTGTAGAAAACCTCTTGAGCAAGTAACACATGGTCTGAGATAGACTTGCCTTTGATGAAAGTTACCAGCTGCTCCGGGATGAGTTTAGGGATAACTGAAATTAACCTGTTCAAAATAACTTTTACCGCCACCTTGTAAACTAAATTGCACAACCTAATACGTCTGAAATTTGATAGATGCAAAGGGTTTGAAACTTTTGGAATGAGAATAATTAAAGTATCCTTCCAAGATTTATCCATCTCACCAAGACAAAGAAATTGATTAATAACATTCCCAAAGTCAACTTTGATGATGTTCCAATACGTTTTGATAAATGAATAAGAAATGCCATCACAACTGGGGGCAATGTTACCACTCAATTGATAAATAAAAACCTCAATCTCCTCCAACAAGAACACCATTACTAGCAATCTTCTATCATTATCATTCAAAGCATTCCTGGACAAAGGCTACACTTCCATTGTACAATTCCTCTGTCTCCATTTTTTGGCTTAAAAACTGAAGGACTTCTTCAATTTGATCCAGCTCTACCAACACATTTCCATTATCATCCTTTATCTTAACAATCTTGTTCATACTCTTCCTTACACTAGCAAATGAATGGAAAAACTTTGAATTACTATCACCATTAACCATCCATTTGACCTTTGCTCTTTGTTTCCACCATGCATTCAGCCGTGCCATAGTAGAATTGACTTCAATCACCTTAGCTCTAAATATCCAATATTATTCTTCAGTTAGCAGTCCCATATCTGATTCCTTTGTTTGCAATTTAAAAATATCTTCCGTCAAGCTTTCTTTCAAAAGGTTCAAGTTTTTCGACTCCAAAAGAAAAAATATTTTAATACTCTTTTAAACTTAAAATTTAATATTTCAGAGTAATTACCCAAATAAGACTTGTTCCACACCTTTATCAAAGATAAAGAGGCCAGATAAGATGCCCAAACATTCTCAAATTTAATGATCTTCTTAGATGATGGTTTAAAGTCAAAGAAGTTAAGAATAATTGGATAATGATCGGAAGCTATTTTAGTTAGGTGCCTAACAACCAAATGAGAAGAAGAGTTTAAAGCCATAGAGTTAAGGAAGCACCTATCCAATCTTTCCGGGATACGAGCCCCCCCCCAGACTTATTGTTACACCAAGTAAACTTAGGGCCAATAAATCCTATATCATGATAATCATTAATAGAAAAGAAAGCCATCATTTCTTTAGGCCCTTGAGCAAACTGAAACCTTTTCCCTCCTCTCTTGCCTTCCATGGAAGTGAGACAATTGAAATCTCCACCCACCACCATGGGATACTCTTTTGTAGAGTGTAATTAAAAAATCTCTCAAAGCTCTCTCATTTTTTACATGCCATTATTTCCATATACCGAAGAAACCCTCCATTTACCTTTACTGATAATTTATATATCTCCAATGATACATTGGAAGAAGAATCAACCATTAAAAAATCAGCCAAATGAGAATTCCATAAGACTATAATGCCACCTAATACCCATCTGAAGGCACCATAACATAACCCCAACCATCATCATTAAGCAAGTTGACGTCTTTTATATGAAAGGAAGAAAATTTAGTCTCTAACAACCCCAAAAAGAGAACACTATGCCATTTAACAAACTCTTTAAGGAATTGAGAAGCACCTTTCTTTCATGCTCCCCTACAATTCTAGAATGCTAAAGAATTCATTAATGTAGGAGAGGGGAAGAACTCCCCGTAGTACATTTCATTTCCATCTCCATTCTTCTACTCCTTGAGTTCGTACTGATTGGACCAAGGTCCTTCAATTGCTTTGAATTCTTCTTTTTAACAACATTGAATCATCATCTCTACATCAAACCATAGAATCTATATTTTGGATCAAGTTTTCACTTTTATTCTCATCAGGTGGTCCTACCATAATTAGCATATCATCTACATTATTCTGAATAATTTCCCCATCTTCAACTGGATCACTTAATACTTTGTATGTATTTTCAATTATTGAATGTTAATACTCTCCCTCCTATCTAGTACAAATACCTTAGGAGAAACATTGCTGACAGCATAAGAGAATTAACTCCATTTGCTTCAGGGTCCAGGATAATAAAAACTGGAACATCACTAGCTTTTGATGTATCGGATTCAATCTTTTTATCCAGAACATAATCTTCTTCTAACATTGATTCTTTAGCATTGGTTCTCCTTACATTTGTTTTTCTCCACACCACTTTATTCAAGCGACG